TCATTTAATGAGCAATTGCAGAGTGCAGGACGGTTAAGGGATTGAGCTATATGCACCATTATTGCAAGAAGTATTCCGAAATACCAGAAATAGGACGTAAGCTCTGATCAGGGAGACTGTGAGCACAATTACCTTCTTTTCAAATCCTTCTGTGACACTGCGGGAGGAAAAAGGACTTTGAAACTTGAAAGGAAAGAGCTTGCTTTCAACCTCAAAAGCTAGGAGGAAAGGGCTCTGAAATTTGCTCAGTATTCCCAATTCACCATTAGCCTGTTTCTTCCTTTAGCCTCAAGGCATTCTCCGCTTTTTGAAAAGATGTTAAGAAATTCAGTCACAATAGAGAGCCTAGTTTTGAACATGTTTCACTCGGTCCATTGAGGTCTGGTCTTCAGCCTTTGTGTGGGGTGAATTGAGCTGAGCAGCTAGCTGGTTGGGGAGAGGTGAATGAGCAGTCTCTGTGCAGTCACAAATTCTGGCAAAGAAAAGATTACCCTTTCCTTTATTTTACAATATGCATTCCTGTACAATCCTGCTAGTGGCAATATGGGAAGCAGAGCTTGTGCTTAAGTCAATACGGAGCACTTGGTTTATAGCAACTCTTGTTAAGTTTGTCTTGTAATTGAAGCTGCTGTTGACCTTGCTTGGAGACCATTTGTAAAACCGTTTATTTAGCATAAACTGAAATAATAAACCCTCCTTCTCTTAGGCCGATTGTGATAGGGTGACATTAGTTTGATTTAATGATTAGCCGCCTGACCCCCTCAGCTAGAGAGAGCTGCTTCAATAGAGAGAGTTCACTAGGAAGCACACAGGAAGAATACTAATGAGCTTGTTAAATTTAGCATGGCACCGACCACTTTTAATTCCTCTAATGGGAGAAGCACAGCCTCTGAGAGAGAGGGAGGGAAGTAGAGGGAGGGAGAAGGGAGAGAGCGATTGAGGAATGTCCACATACCGGTAGCTAGATAATTTCGGTCAAGAGAAGAGCTTGGAGAGAGTAAGCCAGGGTCTTTTGGACTGAGTTGTAAGTATGTTGTCTGTTCTCTTAACCAGATGACGTGTGTCCTACTTAATGAGTTGCAAGACAATAATGTTAGTTGCAAGTTGCATATAGAAATATAATCATGAACCCTAACGCATGCATCCTTAGCTTTGATGACTTATCATTTAAATATGGATATCTCAGAATTTTGTTGAGGGAAGCTTCAGCAGCTTAAGCAATGGTCTGAAACTGATTGTATCACCGACTTTAAAAGGCTCAAAATAAAAAAAATTCCACTTGTGTGTGCAGAACTTTAATGAAAACAAACAAAAGTTTAATGAAGACAAGAAGTTTAAGGGATTGACCTGTTTGTGTTTGTTTCCCTAATTTTTTTTAGCTTAGGTAAAATACATAGTTAAAATGTATTTGCTTAGGCATGTAGCTCGATTATGAGTTTTTGAAAATATGTGTTAATAAAATTAAGTAGTTTTTGATGTATTTTTAAAAGATTATGGTATGTGTTAATAAAATTAAGTAGTTTTTGATGTTGTATTTTAAAAAGATTATGGCTAAATATTGAGGATAAATATCACATTAGATGGGAGAATTTTGGATTAATTTGATAGTTCCAGGCAGGTAGTTGTTACACCTGTTTGCAGCTATTGCTAGATATTCTGGGGGGGACACGTGGAGCAAGAGAAGCTAATACAGATTTATCATCGGGGCCTGAGTCATTTTTCTTTAATACCAGAGTAAGTCAGGAGACACTGTTCTAAAAAGTGAGGGTACAAGGTATGTATGTGTGAGAGGAGAATCAGGCCCTTTACCTTCAAACCATTCATCGCTCTGAAACTTCGCTCTGATATTTCTTTTGACCCTAAAGCAGGCTGAGTTTTAAACATAGGATAGCAATAACAGTTGTCTTGTGTTTGGCTGTAAGAATCTATTGGCAGATGCTGCTAAACAAGTGAGTTGTTTGCTTACATTTTTGCTATAGACTCCCACTTGTTGCCATGGTGGATGGTATGTTTCTGTCAATAATTTGGCCTGGCGCAGCTTGTCTGCACTTACTCTTAAACTTTATTGAACAATTCAGCTGAAACAGAATGAGATTAGACAGCTTTCGCCTTTTGGCTCGCTGAAGTGGTTTTACTGCAGTTATAAGAGCAGGCAGAATTATTGCAAGAAACGTTTCCCTTTCAGTGAATAGAGAGTTCTTTCAAATAACTCGGCTATTTGTATTCTGGAGTACGTATACTGTCAAGTTTTTCATCTACTTCCATATCAAAAGCACCTCTGTGGGGCAGAGCATGAAGTAAACTGAAAATATTTGTCCATTGAAATTCCTTATTATTGCAAAAATGTCATGGTGTTTTAGAGCAAAATACATTTTGCTTTAATTTTTGAAGTTACTAAGAGTAGGTTTGAATTTCAGTCAGCAATTTAAAAAAATCATCTCATTTCATACCAGTAATTGGTGCCTTGATTCATGACACATGCAAGTCTTGAGAGGGACAGAATAAAACTGAATTATTCAAACAGACATATACTTCTTGTTCTATTTTGGGATGGCAATTTAACAAATATTAACTTTTATCTGAAGAGTAAAAGAAATGAAATCTGTATCTGATTTTCAAATTCATTATGTTGCTACAAAAATCACTTTAGTGTATTTCTGTTCAGAGTATAGTTGCCCTACTCTAGTTAAGGGTCTGTTAACATTTCAAATAGAATATAATCTCCTATTTTTAAGAGTTTGCATCTCATCTACAAAAGTTCACTGTAAGGTGAAACATAAACATAAAAACCTTGAGCCAGGGAGAAAATTGGTAGAAAAATTACTTGGAATTTTTTTAAAGTTATACAAGCAGTTTTATAAAATCTAATATAAGTTGTAAACTAAAAACAGCTCCAGTGTAAGAATATAAAAACTTTAAACCCCGTAAATCCAGAGGATAAAGTAGTGCTTTTGCATATTAACACAATGAAAAAAACCAGGCAAAAATTGTTAGCTTTGCAATATTTTTGTCCCTGTTTATATTAATTATTTCACCATAGGCCCAATCTCACAAATTGCACAGATTGGAGTACATGGAGGACCTGGGCCCAGTGACTAAACTACTCTTCAGAAGCTAGTTGATATAACTGCAAATATAAAAATTAATCCATATATTTACACAAACTACATTGTTTTTTCTTCTCTCAAAACATGACATGTAAAATCATGTAGTCTGGTAAAAGCTAGTTTAGATAGTGGCCAAAACTCCGCTTAATGCATTTA